GGTCAGGACCTTCAACAAAAGTCAGAGCCCCAGCCCAAAACACTCCACACTCTGAGCCTCGAGCCAAAGTGAGTCACGCTTATCTCCAGAACAGAGCTGGCCTTGCCACCATTGGTGGGTTCCGACGCAGCCCAGTAGGGGTAACAACCTGGGCCCATGTGGATACTCAAGCTCAATGACGGTCTCACAGTGTAGCAGACTCTCAGCCCTGCAGCCTCAGGTGATTCAAGATTGAATAATGATCTACCCTAAGAGAAGGAAAGTTAGAGCTGAACCATTTCCTTTTCTCTTATATAGAACCTCCCAACACTTGAGTCCTAAAGGCAAGGGTGGCTACCCCTGCAGAGGTCAGGGTGTGGCAGACTTGCAGCCCTGCAAACACCACGAGCTTGGAAAAGGTATGCTGCACTGATGGCCATGTTACTGTTGCCTTGAATCGACTAGTGCTCAATGGTGTGGCATCTCGAAACTCCTAACACCCCAAAAGCCTGCTTGTGACTTGCCCCTGCCTGGGTCAGACAATAGACAGGTGCAACTGTGCAGTCAGCAGGATGTATATTTTTCGGATAACAGTAGTAGGGGAAACAAAATCACCACCTTCCAGGGTTGAAGCCCTGCAGCCCTGTAGCCCTGCAGCCCTGCAGCCCTGAGCCCATGGCTGGATGGCTATGCAAGAACTGCCACAAGGCCAAGACATACAGGCGCTTGACAAGGCTATGTGCAGACTGCGACACTCGTCATGGCTTGAGGGGTTTTCACAACAAGAAGATTGTTCCTGCTAGACGTGTGTTTGGCAAAACAAATCTGAACAAGGCTATGATTGCCAAGAAGAAGCCCAAGCGGAAGTCTGAGCATGACACCTCTACTGCAGTGGCAGCAGCATCAGGAAGAGCTCTTGACCTGCGGACGGCTCTGGAGATGGAGTTCCCACGTCTGAAGAGCCTGTGTGATCTAGCAGAATGTCATGGGGTGCTAGCACAGGCTCACTTGATTGTGAGAGTGGTGGACAAATCTGGGCAAACTCTTCCGGAGGCCACACCAACGGTTGTGAGGGCGCTCCTCTATTGCGCATTGGGTTTGTGCGCATTCTTTACAGATGAGGACCAAACAGAGATCAGGAAGAAGTTGCGAGGTTCTTTCCAGGCTTTGGACATGGTGGCTGTCCGAAAGGCCGAGTGTGTTTGGCACAACTTGCTGGGTGCCTGTAAGTCTGGCTTCCTGTGGAAGTAGGGCAGCTGACCATTGAGGAGTATGACGAAAAAAGGAGTGGAACAGGGACAATTATCAGGGGTTCCCTAGTGTTTTTCATGAATGTTACCCCAGGGCCATGAGGCTCTTCGTGATGCTAAGCTACAACCCCAAACCCTATACCCGAAGCCCTCAACCCTAGAACAGACGCCAGGCCTCAACCTTTGCCAAGTCACAGCTGGTTGTGATATATCTCTATACTGCTCTGATTCAGGGAAAGGCAAGTAGAAACCACCACAAGACATTGTAATGTGTTCGGCTACAGCCAGGTGTCGACTTTGAGCCTGCCCGGGGCCAAGTTCAAAGATGGGGCTGCATCCACACAGACCATAAAGATATGCAGTAAGAGGAATGCTGAGAGTAGGGCCTGACAAATGCCAAGATGTCATGCTGAGAAATTGCCGGGTCACAATTTTGTAAAAGTTGCAAGCTGGCAAGGCCAAGTCACAACTGGTTGCGTCTTGGCTTTTCCTATACAAACATGTACATGATTGCATCTATCTGCTGTTTTCTCTGAGAAAAGCCAAGTCACAACCGGTTGCGTCTTGGCTTTTCCTATACAAACATGTACACAACCTGTCCAACTGAACTGTAGAAAATGTGCATGAACTGGCCAAATGCATTGTATATGCTGTTTTCTATGGGAACATCCAAGTCGCAACCAGTTGCATCTTGGCTTTTCCTATGCAAACATGCACATGACCTGTCCAATTGCATCTATCTGATGATTTCTTTAGGAAAAGCTAATAGTCGCAACCAGTTGTGTCTTGGCTTTACCTATACAAACATGTACATGATCTGTCCAATTGCATCTATCTGCTGTTTTCTATAAGAAAAGCCAAGACGCAACCGGTTGCGACTTGGCTTTTCCTATAGAAATTGTGCATGACCTGGCCATTTGTGTGTCTCTATGCTGGGTTCTATGGGAAATGTCAAGTCGCAACCAGTTGTGTCTTGGCTTTCCCAATACAAAGATGTTGAGGACCAAGTCCCAACTGGTTGTGTCTTGGCTTTTCCTGAAGATAACTTTGATCTGAGGCCTCCATGCTGCTGGAGATCAGAAAAGGCCACTTGTGCCTCAGGCATTGGTGACTAGCATGGTGTGTCTTGCATTTCTGATTGCTTGCATGTCTCGACAGCACTCACTGATTTGACTTCTGCTAGGCTGCAGGTCTGTACAGCACCTGACTGATGTCTCAGGGCGGCGCTTCCACATTCCTGCTTTGCTCTGTCCCAGAGCTTGTCTTGTTACTCTGTCCCAGAGTTGTTCATGATGTGCTCTGTCCCAGAGCTTCTTTGGTTCTACTCTGTCCCAGAGTTTTTCATGTTGTGCTCTGTCCCAGAGCTTTCATACTGAGTGAGCTCTGTCCCAGAGCATTTGATGGATGTGTTAGCTCCTGACAGGTCGCCTTGGGGGTTTAGGGTCTAGGGTTTGAGGGTTCAGAGTCAGGGCTGCAAGGGGTGGTTGCGTGAGGGTACAGGGGTTGAGGCTTAGGGCTTAGGGGCGTCAAATGAAAGAGGCAGAACCACCTATTACTACATCATTGTTGTACTGCGTTTTTTCGACCGACACGAAAAAGAATAATCCCTGTGTGTGTGTGCAATCAACAATTTTGCCGTCCTGCCCAAAACATTAAAAACACACATGGCTCAAAGAATCATGGAAGCTCGGAACTCGCATTTTAAAGCTTAATATCAAGAAAACGTGTTCTCTCTCGCATCTATCAGCAATTGCTCTGAACAGTGCTGGCCTCCCCTATGTGGGGCTTGCAGAAGGCCTGTCAGGCCCTCTTTCAGGGTTTCCATAGATGGCTATTTAAACCCATAATCCCCCAAATAGACCCTCTCCTGATGCTCCGGTCTGCCATTTCATGCGCTGGCACAGCACAGAGAGATACCCAAACAGTGGTGCATTGGGGGTCTTTCTTGTTCACAAACCCCTAAATCTTAACCCAAAATCACCCAAAATGTTGAATTTTAGTTGCCCAAGGCCAGAATTTAGGTTACCACGGCCAGGGTTTAGGAATGTTGTTTGTCACGATTTTTCTTAAAGATAATGAATCAGCATTCACAGTTGTCGTAAAACGTCTAGACCCAAAAAAACTTTAACCATTAAACAAATTGCAAGGCACCTTCAGTCTTTGAACTGTTTAAAGCCTCACAACTTGAGATGGGAAACAAACCCATCACGTAGCGCACAAAGCTCCTACGTGCGTGTATATGTTTTGGCACCCCCAAAAAATAGTAATAACAACAGTCATAGTACTGATGATAATAATAATAATAGACAAATCCTACGTTTTGCGATGCTTTCCTGTATCTCACTGTGAAACCCTCTAGCCATGTGGTAGAGCCAGGTCTCCTTGGACATGTGACACCAATCTTTGCTAGCTCAGCAAATGCCTCACCAGGACGAAATTGTGGGTCCAAGGCAAAACCTGGAATTCGGAAGTCTTGATGGTTCCTAAGGTAAGGCCCGAAACCCTAACTGCTCGAAGTTTCGTCATCGGCTTCGATCTAGGACTTAAGGTTAGGGTTCTCAACATATCATACCCTACTTGAGACCCTGCGTAGAAGTAGTTGCCACCGAAGAATCTTCTAGGGTTTCCACAGGGTGCCCTCTTTCGTCCCTTAAAGCCGAGATTCCCTTATTGAGGCTGATTCAAGGTTTAAGGTTTTGGTGTTCGGGTTTAGGGTTGTTTAGGGTGTAGGGTTTAGGGTTTGAGCTTATTTTGGGGAATATGGGGCGTTAACCCCTTCCCCAAACGCCTTTGTGAAGGAGTGGTCCAATTGGCAATCTGGCAGCTCAACCTCCCGCGCAGACGTCGACTCGATACAGGTGGGCTGGCCAGATGGACCCTGATCGTAAGGTCCAGGACTCGGAGTAGGCCCTATTTCCTTTTATTTTAGGGGTTTTGGGGACCTTCAAACCAAGAAGGGTACCCTTTTTTTCTAGGTTACTCTGAACGTAAGGTCCAGGACTCGGAGTAGGCCCCTAAATCCTTTCTCGAGGGATTTTAGGGATGGGGTTCCCAGAAAAATCACCCTTCAAACCAAACAGGGTAGCCTGTCATTCCTAGGTTACTCCTGGGTCTAGAGGTTCAAAGTAGCGCAGTGTTAAAGTACGGCACTGAAAAGTGGGGTTTGGGCTCTTATAAGGTGCACCCAACACCCTAACCTCCCGCGCCTATGGGGGATGTTGGGGACTCTGCGAGGTCACCTCATGGCTTCTTTGGTTTAGGGTTTAGGGTTTAGGGTTTATAGGGTTTAGGGTTTATAGGGTTTATAGGGTTTAGGGTTTATAGGGTTTATAGGGTTTAGGGTTTAGGGTTTAGGGTTTAGGGTTTAGGGTTTAGGGTTTAGGGTTTAGGGTGAAGGAGGGTTTAGGGTTTAGGGTTTAGTAGGGTTACCCCCCAAACCCTACTTGCAACATCTACCCCCTAACCCTTAAACCCTTGCTTGAACTTCCAACCTTGGAACCCTTGAACCCTGAAAACCTTCAGCCCTTCAACCTATGCCCCCCAAACTTAGACCCCACCCAGCACTTCAACAGCAAAGCCGAAGGCCCTGAGCATGTTTACAGCCACTTGACATTGAAGCTTGTCTGACCTTAAACCCGAAACCCTAAACCCTAAACCCTAAACCCTAAATCCTAACCCTAAACCCTAAACCCTAAACCCCAAGCCCTAAACCCTAAACCCTAAACCCTAAACCCTAAACCCTAAACCCTATAAGCCCTAAGCCGCAGCTCCATGGAGCCTGAGGTCATTGAGCCAGACTACGAGGGCCCTTTTCATCCGTGCCTAAGCATGCATCTTGAGGACATAGGCTCGGGTCTAGGGTTTAGGGTTTAGGGTTTAGGGTTTAGGGTTTAGGGTTTAGGGTTTAGGGTTTAGGGTTTAGGGTTTACGGTTTAACAAACTCGAAACCCCAAATTGTCGAATGGGGTTCTAGAGTCCCCGAGGATCTCATCCACGAGTATCGTTCTGAACTGGGCGGAGTTTCAGAGATTCAGTCTCAGGATTTGGTCCGGGTCTTAAACCCTAACAGCCCTAACACCCAAAACCTCAGATTCACCTTCAGATTATGGTGGGGTTAAAAATCAATTTGAATGCAATCCTGTGCCAGCTAAAGCTCACATGAATGCGTAGTAGCCCAGTGGCCACTGTTTAACCCTTTTTGTGTTCTGGGTTCTGCCTTAATGACAGTAACCAGCACCAAGAAGGGTACCTTTGTTAACGCTAAACCCCAAACCCTGGGCTACCAAGAAAGTTCTGTCCGGGTTTGGGGACGGCCTGAAGGTTTTTCGGGAGGTAATTGGAGCCGAAGCACAAGGAGTTACTACGACGCAGAGAGTGGGCCCGAAGTACCTTTCGACGAAAGCGGGCGTATAGGGTTAGAATAGGGTTAGATTCCCACAAGACCCTTTTACACAAAAATGAGTATCTTCTTCCTCGGTTAGTCTGGGATCCGGGTTATGAAGTCTGGAGCCAACGTTCGATCCAGGCACACTTTACATGGTCTCTCTGTCTTTCTGGGTGTGTGTGTGTGTGTGTGTGCACGCGGGTGGTCTCTTGGCCAAGCTTCACATCATCCGCAACCCGGAAGCCCAAACCCAAAGCCCCGAAGCCAATACTCTAGACTAAAACCCTAAACCCTAAACCCTAAACTCTAAACCCTAAACTCCAAACCCTAAACCCTAAACACAAAACCCTAAAAACCCTAAACCCTCAATTTCAAGCCCTCGACCCTAACTCTAAACCCTAAACCCTAACCGAACCCTAAGCCCTAATCCCTAAGCCCTAAGCCCTAAACCCTAAACCCTAAACCCTCAAGGCCAGGATAAATAGAAATTACTCCCCAAACCCCCTACGCCACCCAACACACATTGGTACTTCGGGCACCAAAAGCCTTATCCTACCAAAATGGAACCCCACCCCCCCCACCCACCCCACCCCCCCCACCCACCCCACCCCCCCCACCCACCCCACCCCCCCCACCCACCCCACCCGCCCCCCCCCCCCACCCACACCCCCCCCCCCCACCCCCCCCCCCCCCCCCCCCCTCCTCCGCCCCCCTCCCCTCCCCCCACCTCCCCCAAGCCTGGAAAGCCATCGCATTTTTGTTCAAAAGCAAAAGAAAAAACCGGTCAAAACCCCGGACACAAACCCTATACAATTTCTATAAACCCTAAACCCTAAACCCTAAACCCTAAACCCTAAACCCTAAACCCTAAACCCTAAACCCTAAACCCTAAACCCTAAACCCTAAACCCTAAACCCTAAACCTAAACCCTAAACCCTAAACCCTAAACCCTAAACCCTAAACCCTAAACCCTAAACCCTAAACCCTAAACCCACCCAAGTTCCCGAAGTTGATGGAAAGTCAGGCTCCCGACCTGGCTCGGCGTGGTCCTTTCGGTGGTACTCGCGGTGCTCCGGGCCGCACTTAGGGTTTAGAGTTTAGGGTTTCGGGTTTCGGGTTTGGGGTTTGGGGTTTGGGGTTTAGGGTTTGGGTTTCTGGGTTTGGGGTATATTTTTTGTCTTGGGCCCAAGGCCTAAGCCCTCAGCCCGACGCCCTAACCCCGTTTTGGATTACGATTCAGGGCCCGGGGCTCTGTTCTGATGTTACCTTGCAGGGCAGCAGAAAGCATAATGATCTGGGTTTCGGGTTTAGGGTTTAGGGCGCTTAGGGTTCGTTGCTACATTGGGTAGGCCAACAAACAGACAGAGGGATTTGAGTTATCAGTATCATCTAACTGTATTCAAGAGGTATCTGAGGGTCTGGTAATACATTTGGTATCATCTGGGTAGACCTGTGGGGTATCTCGTATTTTCCCTTGTTGGGTTCAAGAGACCCTAAACCCTAAACCCAAACCCTAAACCCTAAACCCTAAGCCCTAAACCCTAAATCCTAAACCCGAAACCCGAAACCCGAAACCCTAAACCCTAAACCCTAGACCCTAGACCCTAAACCCTAAACCCTAAACCCTAAACCCTAAACCCTAAACCCTAAACCCTAAACCCTAAACCCTAAACCCTTCCCGTGAGAGATTTTTCTAAAGTTCTTAAGGAACGCGCCAGGAGGTGGACCCTTAGGGAAGCTCAGGAATCCTTGGGGAGTTGGGTTTCGGGTTTGGGGCGTAGGGTTTAGTGTGTAGGGTTTAGGGTTTAGGGGGAGCTTTATGGGTTTTTGTGTTCTCGGACTCGAACCGCACAAATATGTAACGTTCCAGGGATAGGGGCCTTCCGATTTAGTCAGCTCTTCAATGAATACTTCATCAGCTCTTTTGCTGGCGAAACTAGGTCTGGTAAAGGATTGCTCAAAGATCCTATGAAGTTCTTCACATCACGTTCAATCTGGACGAGTCGGGGTTCAGCCGCTTGAGACGTGGATGAACCTGATTATTGGCATTTCTGGAGAACTTCATTCCATGCAACATGGAGATGGTACCTATGAGCTCAGAACAATCAAGGCTTTAGCTGATGACTGCACTGAAGGTGGCACGTGGAGCGATATCAAGGCACTTACCAGAAAGCGAGCTGCCGAAAAGATGGGATGTCAAATTCCCGCGCCGCGGAGAAGTTCGACTATGGGAACTGCGACAGATGTCGACTTCTTGGATATCTTACTAAGAACGGTAAGAGTTCACTTCCGGAAGCTCAACTTCTGGCTGGTTTTCTCTGGCCTGAGAGGCCCCTCGTTACAGCGAAGCACACCACAGTCTCACCGGAAACTTACAGGCTCAGGCTTTCAGATGTGAGCTATAGTGCTTCGGGGTTTAAGGTTTAGGGTTTAGGGTTTAGGGTTTAGGGGCTCCAGATTTGGCGTTAATGTTTAGACTTCCGCTTGCTTTGACCTTCGAGGTTTTGTCACGATTCGTGAACGGCCTTGTATCCTCCACATCGCTAAACCCTTATTCCTAAACACCCTATACACGCCACAAGAGTTAGGGCCCACGATGCAAGTAGGGCTATGAGGGCCTTAAAGTGGATTAGACGTCTTATAATTCAGGCTCAAAGTCCCTCAACAAAAGGTAGTACCGTAAGGGACCCTCAGGGTTTGGGGTTTAGGGCGAAGGTTTTCGGATGAGCTTGCAAGTAAGGGGGTCCCTACTTGTAGTTATAGCCGTTATATTGCAAGGCTCTTTTTTTTTTTCCAGCTTGCTTTTCAAACCTTCAAAGCTTCAAGGTTCAGGGTTCTAGGGTTTAGGGTTTAGGGTTTAGGGTTTAGGGTTTAGGGTTTAGGGCTCCAAAAGCCTGAGCGCTATAGAAATCAATGAGTCCACCGTCCTACTCGAGGCCATGATCCTCGGAACGTTGGTCTACTTCTACAGATCGGAGTGCAGGTCTCTTGACAGGTTTATTTTCCTATTATGATTATTACTTGTATTTGTTCGTTATAGCATTTTATCATTTATTATGTTTCTTAGTAGTACCATGCAAATAAATCAGACTTTATGAGTTCCTGGGCCTGGGCGTTTTTAGGGTTTCCACTCAAACATGGTGTGTTTCGTGGTTGAGCCGCACTCTTGGAACAAGCATTGGCTATACTATGCAGCCGCCGCAGTAGCGTTTGTATGCATGGCGAAGCAGAAGATGCCCCCAAAACCTGTAATTACAGCTGAGTCCTGAGCATTGAACAGACCAATCGGCCAGACCCTAAATGAGTCCGGGCCTGTATGGCTGCTACAGGGTGGTGTAGAAACAGGGTGCCCTGGTGAGGATAACACCCCAACCTAAAGCCAACTCAACTAACTATATAGACGCCAACACATGTTACAGTAAATATATATATATATATATACATATGTGTGTACACACATGTTGTACACATATTTAGTGTGTTATTTGTTTATTTATTTGTCTATTGGTTCTGATATACATATATATAATATATATATATATATAGCTGTTTATATGATTACTACGTATATTTCTAAATGGCAGAGTCCTTCACAGGCTTTAAGAGGCTTGGGCGCCCAACTTCATGACATTGGGCTTTAGGGTTTATAGGGTTTAAACGGTTTGTAGGGTTTATAGGGTTTAGGGCTTATAGGGTTTGCAGGGTTTATAGAGTTTAGGGCTTATAGGGTTTGCAGGGTTTATAGAGTTTAGGGCTTGAAGGGTGCGTATGGTGGAGGTTACTGGGTAGTAGGGCTTAGGGTTTAGGGTTTGCGGTTTTCGGTTTAGGGTTAGGGTTCATCTTAGTGTCGTTGCAAGGTTCTTCTGTATGTCCTACATATGTTGGAGTCTGTTTGTACCAGGTTTTTCCTCGCCTTTGTAAACCCAAGGGCCCATCCTAAGAAAAGGTAACGGAGCATTTTGAAGGACCATGTAATCACCCTTGATTTAAAGCCGTAGGGTGCATCCAGGGTTTCGGGTTGATGGTTCAGGGTAAACCTGGGGTTTAGGGTTTAGGGTTTATGTAAACAACCTGGCCTCAGGCCAGCGCAAGTCGCTCCCGCACCAGACACCCAGCCGACGCGCTGGGCACCATCGGGGAAGGACGCTGTCAGGTTTGGGGGTATAGGGGCTTGGGGAGTTTAGGTTTAGGGGCTTAGGGTTTAGGGTTGAGGGCTTAGAGTTTAGGATTTTGGGGTATATAACTACGCAGGTCACCGTTTAGTAGGAACTGCTGAAAAGCTAAGAAACCTTGTTTCGGGACACGGGCTATCAGAAAGGCTATATGCGGCGGTCTGCAAAGGGGTTGCTGGACACCTGGGAATGTTTCTTTGAACCCGACACCCTACATTCGACTCAAGATACCCTAAAACCCTGCCCTAAGCCCTCTAACCCGTCTAACCCTAAACCCTAGCCCTAAACCCTAGCCCCAAATGCTGCCGCAGGAGGAGAAGAGCAGCTGGGCGCCACGTGCCGCGGGGCAGGAGGTGGCAGAGGCGCATCTCGAGCAGTGGGAAGCCACCGCAATGCGGCGTAGGGTTTAGGGTTTAGGGTTTAGGGTTTAGGGTTTAGGGTTTAGGGTTTAGGGTTTAGGGTTTAGGGTTTAGGGTTTAGGGTTTAGGGTTTAGGGGTTTGGGGTTTGGGGTTTGGGGTTTGGGGTTTGGGGTTTGGGGCTCAGCGTTTAGGATTTCGTGTTTACTGTTCAGGGGCTTAGGGTTTAGGATGTTGGGAGTTAGGGGTTTAGTGGCATAGGCTTTTGGGGTTTAGGGTTTAGGATTTAAAGTGGTTCAGGGCTTTAGGGTTCAGGGTGCAGGATTTAGGGGTTTAGGGGATTCGGGGTATAGAGCTCAGGGGTTTAGGGTTTAGGATTTCGGGGTTTCGGGGCTCAGGGGTTTAGGGGCATCATAGGGGTTTTAGGGTATAGGATGTAGGGGCTTAGGGTGTAGGGGTTTAGGGGCGTAGGATTTGGGGTTCAGGGTTTAGGGTTTAGGGTATAGGATTTAGGGGTTTAGGGCTCAGGGGGGGGTTTAGGCTTTAGTAGTTTAGGAGTAAGATTTAGGATTCAGGGTTCAGGGTTTAGGGTGTGTAAGGACATGTTTCGTGTAAGTTGTATTTTGATGGAACTCGCCTGGTTCTGCCGCAGGCCTCCCTAAACCCTGAACCTGTTCTTTCCAGGCATGGAGGTTCAGGGTTTCGGCTCTGTGCGAGTTTTGTTCAGGCTTTTGGGAGGTTGTGGTTCTCTGAACCCCAAACCCCTAAACCTCTAGACCCTAGACATGTGGGGCTTGTGCGCTGGGAGAGAGGTTTAGGGTTTAGGGTTTAGGGTTTAGGGTTTAGGGTTTAGGGTTTAGGGTTTAGGGTTTAGGGTTTAGGGTTTAGGGTTTAGGGTTTAGGGTTTAGGGTTTAGGGGGTTTAGGGTTTCAGTTTCTAGCCCTAAACCCTAAACCCTCAAGTCTAGTTGCAATCTCCACGAGAAGGGTGTCCGAAGTGGCACTTCCGCAGGTCCCACCATCAGAGGAGCTTCCGGACGCCTGCCTGATCTACGAAAGGAGGCGTAGCCTGGGGTTTAGGGTTTTAGGGTTTAGGGTTTGGGGTTCAGGGTTTAGGGTTTGGGGTTTGGGGTGGTTTAGGGTTTAGGGTTTAGGGTTTAGGGTTTAGGGTTTAGGGTTTAGGGTTTAGGGTTTAGGGTTTAGGGTTTAGGGTTTAGGGCTGAGGCTCAGGGATGTCTTGAAGAAGTCTGTTGGGCTGGCCCAAGCCGAGGACATGAAGGCTGAGGCTTCCTTCAAAGCTCGGGCGAAGGTCACCGCAGGCTCATGCGTTTAGGGTTTAGGGTTTAGGGTTTCGGGTTTCGGGTTTAGGGCAAGTTACGGGGCTTGGGATTTAAGGCAAGTCAAGGGTTCTCTGATGTGTACTTGGGTGGCCCAAACGTCGGGCATGTGACCCTAAACCCTAAACCCTAAACTCTAAACCCCAAACCCCAAACCCTAAACCCTAAACCCTAAACCCTCATGATGTTTCGCTGAGTACTTAGCTATATAGCCACATTTTGGATAAAAAGGTACATATGCCGCGGGGGTTGTTGTTGTTGTTTTGTTTTTTGATAGGGGTCCTCCTAGTGACCCTCAGTCAACGCAGCTACCTGCACCTCCTGCAGACAAACGAAGCCCACGATGTTCATCGACGAACCCTTGTGTAGCATCTTTGATAAGCTACGAAACAGGTCTCCATCCCCCCCCCCCCCCCCCCCCCCCCAAACCTCCCCTAAACCTGTTTTTAAATCCACATTTCCGAGCGTCACAACAGAAACGCCGGCTTCCACCTTTGTCTTACTTGCTCGATTTGCATGAGGCATTTTCTGCAAGGTGACTGACCTCTACCCTCAAACCTTAGGAAGCAGAATGTGCTTTAGGGTGTAGCAGGTTGGGAATGCAGCATCTAGGGCTCGGAACTACGGTAGGGCGGAACACTGCTTGGAAGCCCTTTTGGCTTAGTAAGTAGGGTTAGTAAGGTGGCTTATGGGGACTTCAATAGGGTTTCTAGGGGATACTAAGTCGACTTACCCTAAACCCTAAGCCCGAAACCCTAAACCCTAAACCCCCCCTTGGCAGATTCCGACACGCCGAAAGCTGCTCCTGTGGCTTCTTGGATCTCTGGAGGCCTGGCCGTTATTCCGTGGGTTTAGGGTTTAGGGTAGGGTTTAGGGTTTAGGGTTTAGGGTTTAGGGTTTAGGGTTTAGGGTTTAGGGTTTAGGGTTTAGGGTTTAGGGTTTAGGGTTTAGGGTTTAGGGTTTAGGGTTTAGGGTTTAGGGTTTAGGGTTTAGGGTTTAGGGTTTAGGGTTTAGGGTAGGGTTTAGGTTTTTTAAGGGCTGCAAGAGCTTGGTTTGGGTTCCGGGTGGGATGTTCCCCCCGTATACTAACAGCTCCTTGACAGGGATTAGAATAGGGGGTACTATAATCCCCTTAAGAAAAGGGGGGGACTGTTCGTGCAAGGGTGAACATCCCAAGTTCCGGGGTTTCATTGGGGTTAAGGGCTTGGCTTAGACTTCAGGGTCTTACCTTCAAGGCAAGAGCTGCCAGACTCCTGACCCCTTGCACTTTCCGAAAGACCACAGGTAGCTGGGTCCGAAACCCTAAACCCTAAAGTCCTGTGTGGATGCACCCTTGACTACAGTGTCCTTAGGGGAGGTATCAGAGCCAAGGTGCCCCCCCCCCCCCCCCCCACTCCCTGAGGCTCCCTAAGCTTCCCTAAGAAACCCTAAACCGTAAACCCTAAACCCTAAACCCTACACCCTGCCCCTTAAGACCCCTATAACTTGAGCAGGAGAGCTGGCGAAGAGCCAACAGATGGATGACTGCAGCACTGCGATGGCCGAAGCTGGAAATGGCGCCCTCTTGACCAGAGACTTGGGCGTTCTTTAGGGCCCGAAGTCTCCGAAGCCTGAAGTTAAGGGGTCAGGGTTTGGTGGTTTAGGGGTTTAGGGGTTTAGGTTTTAGTGCTGATGCTTTTAAAGGTTAGAGCTCAGGGGTCTCTCTCTCTCCCTCTCTTGCTCTCTCGCTCTCTCTCTATTTGTCTCTCTCTTCCTCTCTCGCTCTCTCTCTCTCGCTCTTACACTCTCCGTGGGCATAAGTTCCAAGTCAAGCGCCAAGCCGTAAGCCCTGAACCCTAAAACCCTAAACCCCTAACCCAAGAGTCCATGCCCTACCTCGCACGATTTTCCCAGGAGACGGATCCCGGGTCGCCGCAGAGGACAGCATGCCAGAGATTCCTCTTCAGGTTCTCCTGTCAGGTTCTCTTCAAGACCCAGAGTTAGACCCTTCTTCCCTCTTTTTTGGGTCTAGTTTTTTGTTTTAAGAAGCCCCTTTTAGACTAAAAAAGGGTGCCCTGAGTATTCCCATGTTCTCCTGTCAGGTTGTCTTCAAAAGCGAATCAAGACCTTCCTGGTGCTTGGTAGGGAAGTTTGCGATGAGATACCCCTGAAAGTCTCTCCTAAATAAGTCCTTAATTTCCCTTTGACGAAAAGAAGAAACTCCAGCACAATCTGGGAGACCTTTCAACAAACATCTGAACCTTGTTTTTTCAACAGCCTTCGCAGGACGTACAAAGCACCCTCTCTCAAAACTCTTCGGCAAAACCTCCTCAACCCTAAGCCCTCAACCCTAAACCCTGAACCCTAAACCCTAAAACCTGAACCCTGAACCCTGAACCCTGAACCTTGAACCCTGAACCCTGAGCCCCTTTCTTCACAGGACGGAGGCTCCAGGGCCCTGGAAAGAGCCGGCTCCCTCCGCACCGGCGCGCGCGCGACGAACGCCCTGGCCGACCAGGCGCCTCAGCCGCCGGAGGAAGCCGAAGCCCTGGCCTTGGCAGCCTGGCTCTTAAGGGGGTTTAGGGTTTAGGGTTTAGGGCTTAGGGTTTAGGGTTTAGGGTTTAGGGTCTAGGGCTTAGGGCTTAGGGTTTAGGGTTTAGGGTTTAGGGTTTAGGGTTCAGGGTCTCGGTAGGACATTGGGATACTTTACGTGTCCCTCAACTTGGACACATTATTCAAAGGGTTGTTTAGCTGAGGTTGAGGGCTTTGAGGGCTTTGGTTTTGGGGCTACCTTGGGGGTCGGTTTAGGGTTTAGGGTGTAGAGGTTACGGCTTCAGGGTTGTAGGACTTAGGGCGTTAGCAGGGTTTTGGCCTTCAAGGGTTTCTTAGGGCAGGAAGATGGTTAGTATGAGCCCTGAAAAGGGGACCCCTCATACACCCCTTATATACTGTACCCCATACAACAGGCAAGGGACCACGTAAAGGGCCCATGTAGCTACCTACCCTTAGATTATTCAGGGCGCTTAAACCCCGAAGCTCTTAAAACCCGACACACTGAGCCCTAGAGCCCTCTCAACCCTAAACCCTAAACCCTAAACCCTAAACCCTAAACCCTAAACCCCCAAACCCTAAACCCTAACCCCTAAACCCTAAACCCTAAACCCCTCCAGAATTTAAAAGGGAGTCAAAGGCATCCGAAGTATGTGTGTATAGTGAATATAAGGGTAGGATAAACAAGGGACCCAAACCAAGGGCCCATGCTTCTGATCCCCTACTTGGAGGTTCATGGTACTTATTAACCAATTATAGCTGCACTGATAACCCACTTTTCAGCCCCTCAAGTGCCCTAATATGGTTATAAGTTCTACGTACAGTTGTCCTAAACCCTAAACCCTTTTAAGTACAGTTATAATTGGTTAATAAGTACCATGAACCTCCAAGTACCCGACCTCCCAGGCCCGCCAGGAAGCGAAAGCAGAGGAGCGAGAGGCACGGCACGAGCGCGTGAAGATGCTTGGGCTTTGGAGGGGTTTAGGGTTTAGGGGTTAGAATTTAGGGTTTAGGGTTTAGGGTTAGGGTTTAGGGTTTAGGGTTTCGGGGTTAGGGGTTTGGGGGTTATAGGGTTTAGGGTTGCACGTCTAGGGTTGCAAGGCTGAGCTTGGGAGAAGGTTCTGCTAAAAGAATTAGGGTTGAGGGCTTAAGGTTTCTAAGGCTAAAGGGAAGGGACTTGGGGTTTAGGGCTTAGGGCTTAGGGTCTAGAAATTTCGGGTTTTGGGGGATTGTGAAATGGACCCTGGGCTTACGTGGGGTTCATATAAGTCCCTGACGAAAGTACCTGAACAATGGCAAAGCAGAGTCCTAGTGGATCGCAGTTTGGGATTAGGGTTTAGGGTTTAGGCTTTTAGGGCTTGGGGTTTAGGATTTCTAGGGTTTAGGGTTTATCCTCATTTGGGACCCCCTACCCCCGCAAAAGATTGTAATCCTTATGCTAGGAACCCCAGAAAGGGACCCCTATCGTCAGAACCTCCCATCTCAAGTTTGCATCCTTAGTGGGGTACACAGAGGGGTTCAATGGGAGGGTTCTTGCGGGAAGTCATTGGGACTCAGGGGGTTGGCTTTTAGGGTTTAGGGCGTTTAGGGCGTTCAGGGTGTTTAGGTCGTTTAGGTCGTTACCCTAAACCCCAAACCCTAAACCCTAAACCCTCAAGTGGAGGGGTGGGGTGGGGTTGAAGGTGTGCTTCGGGTTCAGGGCAGTTCCAGGTGTAGCAGTAGGCAGGATCTCGGCCATGGGCCTTGAAGCGGGACAGGGCTGGTTGAAATCTTCAAGGTGGCGTGTGACTTGCGAGCCCAAGAAATATGTTGATTTGGGTTATACTGAAAGGCCAGGCCCTGTGTTGGTTTTTAGGTGGGATAACCCAGGCTTTACGTCCGTAAGCCCAAGTAAGTATGGTCAAGGGGCCCTGCAGAGATGCGACGTTAACTTCACATCACAGCCTAAACCCTAAACCCCAAGCCCCAAGCCCCAAACCCTAAACCCTAAACCCTAAACCCTAAACCCTAAACCCTGAACCCTGAACCCTGAACCCTGAACCCTGAACCCTGAACCCTGAACCCTGAACCCTGAACCCTGAACCCTAAACCCTAAACCCTAAACCCTAACCCACCCCCCCTCCCCCCGGCCCAAGTTTCCAGAGCGCGCGCCACGCCAAGGACGATCGTGCGGAGTATCCGCGAAGACATGAAGGCACGCCTCCGATGAAAGGGCTTCGGGTTTAGGGTTTAGGGTTTAGGGTTTAGGGTTTAGGGTTTTGGGGTTTAGGGTTTAGGGTTTAGGGGTTAGGGGTTAGGGTTTAGGGTTTAGGGTGCCCCGAACCTTTTTCTTGCATTCATGCTAGCCAGCCTAAGAGTTGTTTACAGAGTTTTAATGGGCACAGGCGTTGGGGTTCTGAAGGTTCGAGGAATGTTGAAGGGCCGCAAGCAAGGCCTTTTTTTAAAATAAGGTTTGGCACAAAATCTCAAGAAATTTTCCAGATACTCCAAAGTCCTTACAGAGGAAGTACATTCAGGCCCAAATATTCCCTACTTAGGTACCCTAAACCCTAAACCCTAAACCCTAAACCCTAAACCCCACATGGACCCTTAGGGCATGGTACAGGGCTCCACACACGCTTCAATCTTCAAGCTGCCTCCGTGATCTGTCTGCTTGCCACTCAAAAGTGTGGCCCGAAGGTCTTTAAGCCAAAGCTTGAGCAACCCTGGGCTCAAGTCTAAGGGAGGGTTTAGGGTTTAGGGTTTAGGGTTTAGGGTTTAGGGTTTAGGGTTTAGGGTTTAGGGTTTAGGGTTTAGGGTTTAGGGTTTAGGGTCGAGAGTCTAGGGCCTAGGGCCAAGGGTTTAGGGTTGAGGGTTTAGGGTTTAGGGTTTAGGGCTAACGCTAGCCTCGATGGCCAGCCCTGAACCCTCAATCCAAGCATGACAATCAACATAGTATAGGGATGCGAATTGTGTACTACCCTAAGCCCGAAGCCCTAAACCCTAAACTCTAAACCCTAAACCTGTATAGTGTGCATAAGGGTTCTATAACAAGGGACCCATATTAGGCGCCCAGACGTGGAACTTTAGATCTAGAAATACTCACCATCTATCATCTATCATCTTCATCTACCATCTACCATCTATCATCGTCAGCACAATCATCTCCTTCTTCTTCGGGCCATGAACTAAAGTTAGTGTAGCAAGCACGCTATTTACTCGGCATCTAGTGGGTTTAGGGTGGCACTTGATGCCCTAAACCCCGAACCTCCCCAAACCCTAATTAAACCCTAAACCCTAAACCCTAAACCCCAAGCCCCAAACCCTAAACCCTAAACCCTAAGCCCTAAGCCCTAAACCCTAAACCCTAAACCCTAAACCCTAAACCCTAAACCCTAAACCCTAAACCCTAAACCCTAAACCCTAAACCCTAAACCCTGACCCTAAACCCGAAACCCTGGAGGCCGACCGCGCTGCCGAGCTCCCGCAAGACGAGCGGCTTCGCCGCCTGGAGCAGTGGCAGGAACTCTACGAGTCGCAGCAGGGGGACAAGGCCGGAGGGGGTTTAGGGTTTAGGGTTTAGGATTTAGGGTTTAGGGTTTAGGGTTTAGGGTGTAGGTGGTTTAGGGTTTAGCCGGTTGAGGGTTTAGGGTGCAGACAGTTTAGGGTTTAGGCGGCTTACTTCTTAGGCGGTTTAGGGTTTAGAGGTGAGGGGCGGTTGGAGCGTTGTTGAGCTCAAGCGAGTTTGCATACAACAGGGCCTGGGGGTACAGGGCTTTTGACTTCGTAAGTCGTGTTAGGAAGGGGGGTTGTGGGGATGTTGGCAGGGTTTCTAGAAGGATACTAAGTAGACTTACTAAGTCAAAAGAGCTTCTAAGTGGGGCTGCAGGGCTGTTGCTTCCATACGCCTACGGGTTTGCAGTTTCGGGTTTAGTGTGTTGGGTTAGGGTTCAAGACAATTGGAGGTGCGAAGTTTCCCCATGGACCCCTGGTATAGTCCCCTTGAAGTGCGCGGAACCCTAAACCCTCAGCCCTACACCCTGAACCCTAAACCCTAAAGGCCCACACTAAATCAGTCCCCTCTCCACCCCTCAAGCTTAATCCCTAGACCCTAAACCCCAAACCCTACACACTAAAGCCATAAAGCTGACCCTAGAGCCTACACCCTAAGCCCTAAACCCGAACCCCTAAACCCTAGACCCTAAACCCTAAAACCCTAAACCTTAAACCCTAAACCCTAAACCCCAAATCAGTCGCCTACTGAGATCCCAGGTGGCGAGTGCCGTCACTGCCTTCCTCGAGGAGGCGACGAACTGGCGGCTTGGCGTTGCTTGCGATCGCGCGAAGCCCTACACCCCTAAAACCCTAAACCCTAAACCCTAAACCCTAAACCCTAAACCCTAAACCCTGTCTGGGATGAGGCGTCACTGCAAGTTGATGTTCAAGAATTTCCCTGGAACCTCAGGGCAGGTATATCTACCGTGAACTCTACATGGTTTGACGGTTTAGGGTTTAGGGTTTAGGGTGTGCTCGGGCTATCTGGGCTGTAGCGTTTGTAAGGGTGATGTGAACCCGTAACCCAAAAACCCTAAACCAAAAAGACCCTCAACACAAAATCCCAACAAAAACCAGAAGCCCAGATACCCAAAGACCCAAAACCTTTCCCCTGAGCCTTAAACCTTGGATGCGTCGGCCGAGGTATTTGAAAGGAGCGCCGGAAGGATAGCCCCGTGTCTGAGGTTGAGTTGGCCCAAAGCCTGGCCGTTGCTCAACCTTGGTAGGGTTTTGGGTTTAGGGTTTAGGGTTTAGGGTTTAGGGTTTAGGGTTTAGGGTTTAGGGTTTAGGGCCCCAGAGCCCAACCCCCCAAAATTAAACCCTCAACCGTGTGCTCTTAGCTGCCTCGTTACTTACGAAGGCTGGGGGGCTCCCTTTCTTGGTAGCCCTGTGGTACACGTTTGCCCTTTTTTTGGTACAAGGTAAAGTTACAAAGTAGCCAACCCCAAAAAAGGGCACCTTATTATACTACGGTTGCTGGGCTACCAAACGTTCAACCTGCATGTAGTCGTTTTGTTACATGTTCGGTATGGACCGATCTTAGACCCAACTGCTAGCTTGCCCTATGCTCCCAGGGACATAGGTATAATCTGACAGTAGTAGTAATATGAATCAGAAAACAATAAAAGCAATAATACAACAACAAATAAGGTCACTAAGAAAGAGGTTCCTAAGACCCTCAGGACCGCGAAGCTTCGTCCCTGGAAGTACAGGGTTGCGTGTCTTCCCGCACCTCGGTCAGGGGATACCTCTGAACCCCCCCTAGAGTGGCACAACCCTAAACCCTAAACCCTAAGACCCTTGGGTTTGGAACCCTGTTTCAAGATGCCCTAAGGGACTATACTGGTAGCTAAGTACATGAAGGGAACCCTGAACCCTCAACCTTCAAGCCCTAAACCCTAGCCCTAAAGCCGAAATGGCCCTAGACCGTGAACCTTCAAGCTTCCAGGTTGCCGTGGGGCCTCTAGGGTTTAGGGTTAGGGTTTAGGGTTAGGGTTTAGGGTTTAGGGTTTAGGGTTTAGGGACAAGCGTCAACGACGTTTTGCGGTTTCGCCGCGTCCTGGGCAGAAAGCTCGCTTCTGTCCGCCGAAGGCGGACGGGGCACGAAGAATGAGCGAAGTCCCAGAACCCTACTTATATGCCAAAAGTGTGTTTCAGGGCTCAAGTTTTAGGGTTTTAGGGTTTTAGGGTTTTAGGGTTTTAGGGTTTTGGGGTTTTAGGGTTTTAGGGTTTTAGGGTTTTAGGTTGCAACCAAAATTTTGGATTCAGGGCTCAGGTTTTGTAGGGTTTGGGGTTGAAATTTGCAGGTTGAGACGCAATCCCCACGCCCCCGCAAACCCAAACCCTGAGCCCTGCCAGAAACTCGCAACCCTAAACCCTAAACCCTAAACCCGAAATGTGAAATAGACCCGAGAGGCATTGGGGCTGCAGTCACTACTGGGTGTGCGCCCTGTGCACGAAGCCCCTCAATGGTTTCCAACCTCCCCCCGCCCCCTAAACCCTAAAGCCATATGCTCCCAATCCGGTCCTTCTATTACCCTTAGGGGTCTTAAACTAGGGTCCTCAGCAAGGGTGCCACCGTAGGGGTTCAAGGGAGAAGCCTAAACCCTAGACCCTAAAGCCTAAACCCTAAACCAACGGGGTTTATCGTGGATGTTTGAAGGTCGGTGGCTTCACAAGGTCAGCACTGGGGGTTTAGGGTTTAGGCTCTGGGTTGAAGTCTGTACTACGAACCCTAAACCCTAAACCCTAAACCCTCTGCACTACGAACCCTTAAACGATTAAAGGTTGAGGCCTTAGGGATTAGGGTTTAGGCTTCAGGGTTTCAGGGTTTACGCTCTCGAGTTTCAGGATTTATGATTCAGGGTTTTTTGTTTTTGGTTTCGGGTTTTGGGGCTTTGGTCAGCCTGGGCCCGCCATGATCTGCAGCGCGCAGTGCGGGACAAAAGCAGCACGGGGGCTTGGGCTTACAGCTTTAGGACCGAGGGCTTGGGGCTTGCAGCTTAGGTCGTAGTGTTTGGGGCTTGTGGCATCGTAGGACTTTGGTTTAGGACTGGCTTGGGGTACAGGGTGCAGGATTTAAGGCTTGGGTTTGGGGTTTGGGGTTTAGGGTTTAGGGTTTAGGGTTTAGGGTATGGGCTTCAGGGTCGTACTCACGGCAACCAAAACCCTGAACCTCCTGCAGCCGAAAGCCGAAGAGGAGTCCCAAGCAAAACCGTCACCTTGTCCTTCAAGGCCCCCCCCCGCCCCCCCCCCCCCCCCAAAAAAAAAAAAAAAAAAAAAAACTAGGCCCCAAGTCCTAAGCCCTAAACCCAGAACCCCTAAGCCCTAAACCCAGAACCCTAAACCCTAAACCCTAAACCCTAAACCCTAAACCTTAAACCCTAAACCCTAAACCCTAAACCCTAAACCCTAAACCCTAACATTAATTGGGCGGCTTCTGCACTGGAAGGCTTGGGGTTTGAGTTTCCGGGCACGCCAAGGTCCCCAACCCATTGTTTTACGGTTTGAGTTTGGCCTTTAAAGTGTAGGACGCAGGTTAGCTCCTAGACCCTTTAGGGGTTCAGGGATATATGGAGATGTGTCCCAAAGCAACCGCAAGCGACCTTAGACTCTGACACTGAGCGTTCAACGTCCTGGTGAAGCGAGCTAAGGCATTTCAAATACAGCATCCTTTCAGAGGTTGGCGATTACAAGCTGCTCAACGGCACAGGAAGCAGGGTGTGAATTACTGTTTTTGGTGAGTGTATATTAGGTTCCTTTCTAAAATTGGTGAGTGCATATACTGGGTGTCCTTTTAAAGGTACAAGAAATATTAACCCTGCTTCACATCAGTGTTTAGGGGGTTCTGGGCTTGGCAAGTTTGGGTTGCCACTTGCAATGTTCCCCCTTATGCCAACAGTCCTGAATAGGAATTATATTACCCCCTAATGGAATCCCTATAAAGGGCTGCTGGTATAAGGGAAAGATCCCAAGTTGCAACATTGGTTTATTGAATTTTGGGGAGTTTCAGGCACTTGTGTTTCAGGGTTGAGGCTGAGGCCTTTCGGAGTGGTTTCTGGGGTCTAGCGGGCCGAAAGAACTTATAGCCAGCATGATATCCCGAAACCCTAACACACAAAACCCTGTGGCTTAGGGCTGAGGGTTTAGGGCTTAGGGCTTGGGGTTTAGGGTTTAAGGATTCTTGCGTAGATCACGGGTGGGGATACTAAGCCCCAAAATCCCCTCCCTGGACGCTGCACCTCCTCCCGCAAAGCCTACATCCCAAAGCCCTAACCTGCCTAAACTCGAAACCCTCAAATCCCAAACCCTAAGCCTTGCTCATAGTTGGGTAACATTTTACATTTTTTAAGGGTACATAAACCTAATAAGGACTAGACATCTAGTTTTTTAATACGATCCCAACCATGAACCAGAAACTCCAAACACGAACCCCCAATTCTTCAAATGCCAGCTTCCCTAAATCAGGGGCCTGTTTGGGGGTACAGTGCCTGCGATAAGCACGGGCACTTGGCATTTAGGGCGCCCCCCAAAAGAGACCGCAACCCTAAAACCCCTAGACCCTAAAACGAGGGTTCCTGGGTTATGAACAAGCCAAATTAACATTGCGAACGTAATTACCCTGCACATGAATCCAGCTGTAACTAGCAGGCAAACCCCTGCAGGCTCTGAACCCTAAACCCTAAACCTTAGACCCTAAACCCTAAACCCTAAACCCTAAACCCTAAACCCTAAACCCTAAACCCTAAACCCTAAACCCTAAACCCTAGTCAAGGCTCTCGTTCAGTTTCCTTCAAGCTTCCGCAAGGTTGAAGTCTGGCAAGTTCAAGTTCTGCGCTTAGTCAGACGGAGCACGGAATTGTTTGCTCGTTCGGGTTCAAGGTTTAGGGTTTGGCGTTTGGGGTTTAGGGTTGGGGGTTTAGGATTTAGGGTTTAGGGTTTGGGGTTTGGGGTCCAGGG